TATTGTTCATTACACTAGCTTTACAATTACCTATATATTGACAAAACATGTTTTTCAAGTGCTCACATACAAATTGTGTCCACATTTGATAATAAAACTGTTATTATATAACTGCAACGTTCTGTAATGATATGGATTAGTCATGTGAAGATTCAACCCCTGCTAATTCCATTGGCAGTGAATGCTGTGAGTTTTATTTCAGTTTGTATCTAAATACTGAATAAGAGATGACATGAGACTTGGCATCACAGAAGCTCACTCTCAGAAACTCATCTCACACACTTTGAATCTGTAAATTAGCTTGTGCTCATTCAATTTTGATAACCACTTGAGTCAGAAGTTTCTATCTGAACATCCACGACTAATTTAAAGTTTATTGGTTGGCTTGTTTTTAAATATTTAACTGTCATCGCAGTAACTTCACTGTAAATGTCTTCCGAGATGACAAACTTAGCCGTGCGCTAAAGGTGTCCTACGGGAATCGGTTTCATAACCGTAACATTTCAAAGCAGTGATGACATAATTAACACATAGTTTATGTCTGTTTCTCCATCCCTGCATTGTCCTACTGTGAATGAACACAGTCACTCTGGAAGTGATCTTCCGTCTTTCATCATGTCTGTTCAGTGGGATCGAGAAGCGGTATCATCTCTTACAGTGGCTCATTACGCTGTGGTTCTTGTCTCATGCTTGGGTGAAAAGTAGATGCCGCCTCGTCGCAGTCTTGTAGCTTTTCATCAGGCTGTGATTGCTCAGACGAGAAACTGAAAGTATTTTGGAAGTGTCCATAGACAATAACACCCAAGAATTCATGAGCTGCATTTTTGCCTTTTGAACATAACAGACTGAAGTAGAAGTATATGAGGCTGGAGGTTCAGAGCGAGCCTGTGACACACTGTCACGGATATGATTGCTGGAATAGGAAAGCTGCGAGAGCCTTGCGCCAGTTTCATCCAACTACCCTGCGTGACCATAGACACAAGCATTATCGGGTGCATTTATAAAGCTATTTTTATTGGCTGTCCTACTTTTGCTTCCCTTCTGCAAAGTAGCTCTCAAATACAGTCCATCATTACCCCACTGAAACATCAGTGTGGGGAGATGAGGAGATGAAGTGAGGCTTCATCGGGGTTAACCATGTTGCTGACCTTTGTGTGAACTCTTGGTTTGTTGATGCTCCCCCTCATTGCAGTGTTTCCTCAAGGGGAGAATCTCTAAGCAGCTTTTCCTCCACTTCAAAGGGAGAGAATGTAGGCCTGCTTTGCATAATCAGGTGGAGAACAGCTTTTTGCCAGAGAGGCAAGAATTAATTTGTGGCACCGCCAGATGTAATCATTAAAACGCTAGTCATTGACAATAAGGGGAGAGGAGGAGGCGAAACGAGAGGAGGAACAGTAGATAGGACGGGAAAGAGATATGGAGCGTATAAGGCCCTGAATGCCAGAGGACATTGTGGACTAATGTGACCTGAGCTCTGCTGAGTGTCATTTTTAGAACATGTGGGGATGATGTTTGTCTTCACTTCTCGTATTCTCTTTACATTTTACAGAATCGCTAAGAAAGGAGGAATAAAAAGGGGTTAAATGGGTCAATTGTAGACCTACGAAGCTACTAAGGATCATTTATTGCACAATGTATATTATCCATCCATACTTATCCTTTGAGGTGCTGCAGGGGGAACTGGAGCCAATCCCAGCAGACATTTGACGAGAGGCGGAGTTCACCCTGGACAGGTCGCCATGCAGCGAATCACAGGGCCGACAAACAACCATTCACACACATGCACAGAAATAATTTGGTCTCCAATTGAGCCACCCCCAGTTTGCATGAAAATATAGAAGTGACAGTGCTAACCACCGTCAGGCTGCCTTATACTGTATGTTATGATGACTTTATATGAAGTATATAGTGTATGGAACAATTGGCTTCAGCCCAACCCCCCCCTACGACCCTTAAAGGATATGTCGAGAAGACAATGGATGGACGCATCTGCAGAACATCACTAACTTGGAAAAGCATCCAATCAGATTTCACAATCACTGTCCGTCAGTCTGATATTTTTCCATTCCTGAAAAATGTTTGACTTGAAGCGTTTGACAGTGAGTGTGTGTCAGTTAACAAGTGGATCTATAGATTTAGGGCCTTTTGGGAGAATCCATCATTCATTTCAAATGTCATCGTTTGTCAATATTCCATCAGTGGAAGTGAGAGACCGGGATTGCTGCTCGTGATGGATTGTTACAAGACTAATCTCGGAGGGAATAAAGTCTGTGAAGAAGGAGTTCTTCGTAGAGGTCACCATGTCCATGTTCACACAAATTAACAAAGCCAGTGTCTGAGTGTGTGGTGTTGTAGAATACAAGAATAAACACACTTAGAATTAAGAAGCTTGATCTCTGCGAGAGAGAAACACGTTACGGACCAACTACGAAGTAACTGGGATACAACCCTAAAACAAATCTGCTGGAATCATCATGTT